GACAGAGAGAGAGGAAAAAATCTTTCAATGGGCCATCAACAGAAGTCTTTCAGCCTATTCACAAACTTATAGACTTTGATTTCACAATATATATATATGATAAATCTAATAGAATATAAAACGAAAAAAAAACACAATTTAAATTCATATAGGTAGTTACAATATATTAGTCTTCCTGTTGCAGCTGGATTAATCCTTGGTAGATGGTGGTTTCTGGCTATTATCCTTATCCATTCACGTGTACTGACAGTCCTTATGATGCTTCGGTTGGGGATTCCTTCTGATTGGTGTTGTCTAGGTCAAGCACTAGAATGTAATGTCGGTTCCCAGCAAACAGTGCTGTTGTATCTATATTATACAAGTTCATAAAGCGTTTCTTGAGGTTCAGCAGTTGCTCTTCTCTGTTTACGTTTTTTGTTTTTTTTTTAGTTCTTTTTATTGACATATGGTCATAAAGTATTATTGTAGTGTGTATTTTATTGTTTCTTCAGTTTTGGTATTTGATATAACGAGTTGTTTTGTTTATAGAACTAATTCTGGTAATAGGTATTCCAATCATACGTTGGGTAGGTCTTTTTGGACATTTTGAAGACCAGGCATCATGATCTTCAGCATTGCAAGCTGCACACTTCGGTGGGCAGCCGAGATGTGCAAGAAATCATGGAGTGTTTGTCTAGACATTTTCTGCATTTTTGGAGTGAATCGCATTTATCTGAAGTGTGGGTGAGCACTTGGAACAGGGGATCGGCATGGATGCTGAAGAAGCACAAGGGTAGACTGGGTAGTGACGATTTTTGTAAAAAACTCCTTCACTCATCAGTTTTTAACCAGAGATCACTCTAATGAGATATGTTAATTTTCCAGTGGTTCTGGATGTACTTCGTTTACAGTATCTGTGTAATATATTGTTTTCGGTCAGATGATTACTGATTACCTCATCTGATATGTCGAGATCTACTAAGAAGATAACATATGTTGCCTCTGATGTTTTTGTTGGAGTATGATGGTTTTTATGTGTTTCCGAAAAGGAGTCAATTTTCTTTTCCTGTACTAAATTATCTAAAAATGATTTCTACAGTATTTTATCATTGTTAGAATGTATAAGGAATCCTGGTTTTTAAAATAACATCCCTAGTATCCGGGAACCGGGTACTCCGAATGTCTGCAAGGTCCGATCTATTCAGGAATATATGTGTGGTAACATAAAACATACTTTTGTAGGATTGATTCATGATCTGATTCATCTTTGGTGAACAATTCACTGCTGATAATTTTTTGTTGGAGGTTTTTTGTGTGGTGAGTTCGAGTTGGGACTGTTTTTTTTTGTGTAGTATTCGTCTGCGAAGTTTTTGTGGTTTGTGCATTTAGTACTGGAGCTGGCACCTAATATTATTTCATTGATTGCACTTGCTGTTGATTGTTTTGCCTTCTTAGATATTTTTTCTTCAAGTGATTTTTGTCTTCTTTTATGTCTCACTTTTTTTCACTCTCCGTTATCTTCAATTTCCATCTCACTATAACTTTCATTATTGACTTTTTGAGCTATTTATCTTCTGTACTGTTTATCTTTTATATACTAATATTATAATTGTTTGTATTGAATAGGCTCCGAAACTACTAGACCGATTTGAAAAATTATTTCACCGTTTGAAGTCGGCATTATCCCTGATGAACATAGGCTACTTTTTACGGAAAAATGCTTCCCAAAGGGAAAACAGGTAATAGGACAACGGGTAGTAAGTATTACCCTTCCCTACTCATCTTTTTCACATAACTTCTAAACGGCTGAACCGATTGGGTCGAAATTTTATATAGGTATTTCGATGGTTTCCTGTATGACTTGAAAATACAATTGGACACGAAAGTTAGCGCTACTGTCGGTACGTCAACTACTAAACGGCTTGACCGATTGAGTTGAAATTTTCAATATTTATAACAAAAAAAAAACAAAAGATACTGAGAGAATGATGCTATAGGTGTAAGTATATAAATAGTAGCTATAGATCAGCTCGAAAAATTTAAAATAATAACGAAAAAATATGTACTGTACATACGCGCATAGCTCAGAACGACTGCAACAAATGTCTTATTTTTTTAAATGGGTACACCGGGGTACACCAACCGTGCGAAGGCATGCCGGACAGCTATATACGATAAAGTGTATCAAAGCAGGCATCACATAATTGTTTGGTAGCCCTCTTTGTCTTAATCCGCGATTAAATTCTGATTTTTGTTGAAAATTGCAGACTACCCCTCAACTTTGGCGCGCTTTAGAGCGGAAACTATTGATCGGAGACAAAAAATGCAGGAACCAAAGTCGAGCACAATTTTGTTCTCTACATCTTTCATTCGAACATTTTTTCAATAGCACCTTCCCTAAGAGTGCTATTCTCCACCAAGCGCAGCGAGTCAGAGTTTTCATCCCCACACCGCCCGAGCGGCAACCCCCTGAGGTCGCTAACTCAGGTGGACTATCAAGGAACCTATCTCTACCATCCTACAAATTTTCATTTCTTCCCGACTTCTTGTGAATAGAAATTCCCCATGTAGTCAAACGCGCAATTTCGCGCGCGGCGCACTGTTGTATCGACTGCTGACGGCATGTTTTTTTAATAAAAATTCGGGCTGACATGTTTTTTTCATTTTTCCTATTATCAACAACTTGTAAACCAAATTTAACATTTTAGAAAACAGTTTCACCAACCATATTTTTTTATGACTCATAGCTAATTCTCAAACGATGCATTACCGACATTATAATGATTAGATATTGAAGGTCTCATGAATATTTTGCATCTTAAATGGAACCATTCCAGATGAAAATTGTGCTTGTCTTGAGTCACATTGAAACTCATGTGGCCAGCTCTTAGACTAGAATATCCTGAATTGTGAATCATAACATTGATATTCAACTAAGCCTATTGAGAAAAACCAGTCTCAGGGAGGGGTGGGAATTTCATTCAGAGGAAAAATATCCTAAAAAAATTATTACAAGAAGTTTATGGAAATTGACTTCTCAGATAATTTCTGTTGTGATTTTCTCTTCAAAAGCTGTAGGAAAATATATACAGGGTGTTTCATGATACATGCACAGGACTTTATAATGTGATAGATCGTCCAAATATATGAAAAAAAGTTTTTATTAACTTACCCTATAAATGCACTATTTTCGAGATGTTGAAATTTGAAATAAAAAATCGTTTTTTGCGAATTTATTTGGAACTGTTTACCAGGAAACAGCTTTCTTATGTTTAGTGCGGAATTCATCTTTTTATAAGTCATAATTGGTGAAGATTATGAAGGGGGTAGCGAGTGTTTTCCCACCCAACTTCTATGCCACTGGAAAAGTACAGTTTTTTGCCATTCCAATTGCTAATGTTTTCTTAAACAAATAAGATACTCTTGGTCATAAGCTCTAAAGTTGACCGTCTTCGAGAAATATACAACTTTTATGCTTAAAATTATGGTAATTTTTTTATAGAATTGCTGCATGCATCGAAACTTACCGTCCAACAGTAGACTTTTATAAAATTTCTCACTCAGATACCTTTCAATTTCATATTTTTTTAGAATTTTCGGTCGATTTCAAGGTGCCAAAATCATCAATAATGCCATGGTCATTTTCAAACGGCTAGAAATTTATCACGAGTAAAAACTGACGTCACGATTTCGTGAGTAGTGGCAGAACATAGCACAGTTGCCATATGTTGAAATATGATTGTGAACATCAGAAATATTAGTTATTCAATAATCCATAAATTCTCAATTAAGTAAATACTGTCTGTAGGTTAATCGAGGAGGTGGTACATTCTTTTTACTTGATTTTTGTGATTTTCTCTCCTCGTTTCAATAAAATAAAAATATGCCTATTATTTCAATATATTTGTAGTGGGACAAATCAGATGATTTGCCCTCTCCTCGTTTCTATAAAATAAAAATATGCCTGATTTGTCCCACTACAACTATATTGAAATAATACGCATATTCTTATTTTATTGAAAGGAGGAGAGAAAATCCCAAAAAATCAACTGAAATGAATCTCAATTAAGTATTGGTAATATTCTCCTCCTGTATTGTGGCTTATTGCTTATGATACATTTGTGTAAATACGGCGCACGAATTGTGGGCGTGGTCTTGTCAGTTCCCAGCATTCAGCACAATGTTGCCAAGTCTCCAACATTTACATTATATTTTGTTATGGAATATAAGGAATATTTGGAATGCTGGTTGCTCGAAAATGTCAAGAATTACCTATATCATGGGTTCCTCCTATTATGTTTTATTCTATACTCTAACATATTTTTGATAACTTGATTATAATTGGTGACTTGGCAACTTTGCTTCATGAGTGGGAATGAAAGATTATCTGACCAATAATAAAACAGCACAAAAACTGAAGTCAAAATTTTTTCACTCAATTCAACTGAGTATGATTTGTTATTGTTTTTTTTAACGTTTTGCATTATGAAGTTTAAGTTTGGTTTCCTTACTTGTTCAGAAGTTTGAAGAAATTCTGTTCAATAAGTAAAACTTTTTTTTTTTCAAAAAATGTACCTTGATTTTCAACACAGAAGTGGATTTTTCTGGAAAATGGTTCTTTAGAGCTTATGACCAAGAGTATCTTTTTTGTGTAGAAAATATTGGCTCAAAATTGTATTTTTTCCAGTGGCATAGTAGTTAAGAAAAACACTCACTATCCCTTCAAAATTTTCACCAGTTATGACTTGAAAAAATAAATTCCACAAAATAGCTTGATTATGAGTATAAAATGATTACAAAAGCTGTTTCCTGTGTGATGAATGGTTCCAGAGATATTTGCAAAAAGTGATTTTTTTCAATTTCATTACCCTGTATCTTGAAAATGGTGCATATATTATGAAACACACTGTATATCACTGCTGAGAGTTCTGAGAGATCTTTGTGGTACACCTGAAATATTATAGATGACCCATTTTTTAAATGCATATCAATAATTAATAATAATTGGACATATCACTTACCACAGAGAACTTTACTTCATCTGAGATTCTAGTTTCTGTATACCCAGGCTGAGACTGCTGTGCCTTCACTATTTGTTCATAGTTAGTCTGCATTATACGTAAAGCAACAACTTCCTTTCTTAAAGCATTTCTCTCTTCTTCCTGCTTCTTTTTTTGCAACTGTAAGTATTGGATATAATCTATGGACTTTTGAAGGATTATTGCTTTACTCAATTTGTAACCTGAGAAGAAATATTAGCATAAAACAACCAAACTGAACATTCCAGATTCCAGAATTTGCAGAGTTTAATCCAGCTTGGTGGATTTTTGATACTAATGGAGTGTTATTGGACCAAAAGATGCATTTGTTATTGAAATAACATCCCTTTGACATTACATTAATTGACAAGAGGCTAAGGGTTAGTGTTATCCTGTACAGCAGGTCTTCACTAAACAAAACCTATTCACAACTGAAAATATGAAGTTCCCAGACTGACCCAAACCTATACAGTAAACTATATAACCTGACACATCATTCTGCTGGCAAGTTGGTACAAGTTCCTGCAAACTATCATAGCCCCTTTTAATAGCATCTCTTCGTTTTTGTTCTGCTTGAGTATGTGCCTCTCGTCTACGTTCCTTATAACTCATAGAAGACATTTTATTTCCATCATCCTCATCATCATCTATTGGAAGTTGAAAGGTATTTTAGAAGTGGAATAAATCATTATAAAATAAAATAATGTAATACCTGATATGTTTGATGATGGATTTGAAGAAAATTTCACCTGTTCTCGGGGCATCATCTGAACAACAACTTTAGCAAATGCTAAACAATTTCATTGATAACAATTATGTTATCACAATAATAATATCAAATCATCATGGTTCTTTTTATATTTCGTTTTGTGTATTTGTTGTTCTTGCAATTCCTTAGATCATAAATTCCTGTATGATATGTAGATCTTTGATATGTATTAAATTAAGTGGTATTAATGATGTATGATCTAAGACTCGATCTCGATCTAAGGTCTTCTAGGCTAAGGGACCCTGCAAACTAGCCACTACGTTCACTACAGTCTCTACAGTAATTCTGTCACTACGCCCACTACGGTCGTACGTCAACAGTACTCTAAGGTCTCTAAGCAGAATGGTCAAAGCACTAAAGCAGTAAGTGATCTAAGGGTCTCTATCTCTTCAACATGAAAAAGTGACCGCATTAAAAACGATCACGCTGCCACCTATTTGTGTCTTGGACATTGGGCCTTGGGGCTTGGATAAAAGTGAGATAAAAGAAAGAAGTTGAACGCTAAAGTAAAAAATAAGAAGAAGAAGTAATTCAAATATTTATGATTTTGGCGTCTTTGGTTTGTTTTGAAATTTGTGAATGAGTTTTTGGGTAATTATAATTATCAGAATAATAAAAGTAATAATTTATATCTATTTGATGATCAGTGTTAGTTCTAGAGTTTTTGATTTCAGTTTTCCGGAAAGAAAAATAGATGTTCATGGAAATCATCAACACACAACTTTATACCTCAGAGTGAATAAAATCATCAGGACATATTATAAGGATATAATTTATATGTACCCTCCGAGCTACCTTCTATAAAAATGACTTCTCTGGGTAAAAGAATCGAGGTGATTATTCCTATGTCTAAGGGTGGTGTATGGTTTCAATATCTAAGTTAAAATCTGACCACTTAATTTCAGGAATATGAAGTTCACAATCTACTTGGTAAAGGAGGTTTTGCCTCTGTATACCGTGCAAGATGTTTGAAAACTGGCACTGATGTTGCCATCAAAATGGTGAGCTGATCTTGCATAAAGTCAAGGATATATATTAATTTGTTATTGTTATTTCACAGATAGATAAAAAACTTATGCAAGCTACTGGAATGGTAAATCGTGTAAAACAGGAAGTATCAATCCATTCTAGACTGAAGCATCCCTCAATTTTGGAGTTATATGAGTGTTTTGAAGATATCAATTATGTCTATCTTGTCCTGGAACTTTGCCATAGAGGAGAATTGCAGAAGTTTGTTAAAGAAAGGGTAAATGCTAACTCCTACAAAATGTTTGATTTTAATTCAGTTTCATTTTAGCCTCTTTCTGAGAGTGAAGTGAGCAGTATCATGGGACAAGTAGTTGAAGGAATAAAATATCTTCATTCCTACAACATACTTCATAGGGATCTATCTTTATCTAATTTACTTCTCACAAAGGATATGCAAGTGGTAAATTGTATTGGTTCCAGAAAAGTTTTGATTCTCTATTCATGTGAGTTTTAGAGGATTGCTGATTTTGGGTTAGCTACTCAGCTGACAAGGCCTGATGAAAAACATATGACCATGTGTGGAACACCGAATTTCATATCCCCTGAAGTGGCTTCTAGAGGTTCTCATGGTCTAGAAGCTGATGTGTGGGGCATAGGTTGCCTGCTCTATACATTACTAGTTGGTTCACCACCATTTGACACACCTGGAGTTAAAAGTACTTTAACTAAGGTTGTTATGTCAAATTATAACCTGCCTAGTCATCTATCCCCAGAAGCTAAAGATTTGATCAATTCATTACTTCAAAAAAATCCTAAGGATAGAATGAAGTTGGAACAGATATTGGAACATCCATTCATCAGAAGGAGCAGGGTTAGAGAAAATGAGAAAACTCTTATACAGTGTCTTTCAGAGAGTTCATAAAAGAAAAATTTTTGATAATGATTTATTTTGAAATGTAACTTGGACCTGAAGAAGATAATAATTTCATGAAATTTATGTGATATTTGAAAAAGCTCAACTTCAACAAAACTGCCCTAACTTTGAATAGATATGTTAAGTAGTTTGATGATATTTTGATTGATGACTTTCAGCATCTTTTTAGGTCTTGAAAATTCCATTTAAATAATTTTTACTCCTAAATGCTTGGCTAGACATCAACTTTGCATTTGCAGCTGGATTATTATTTTTTAATTAAAATCATATTCATATACAGTGTGTCCACCTTAAGGACTTACCACCCCTGTAAAATCGTTATTATCTGACCAATTTCAAAAAACCTTTGTGTGTTGGATAGGTATTTGAAATGCCCATCCAACAAGAGAGTGATCTAATTCTTGGACTGTTATCATGGCAAACTGTGACAAATTTCAATGACCCATATTCCAGAAAGTTCTATTAGGGATTTTTTTCCACCAAACTTGATGATGGATTCTGAATCAGTACCACTTGAAATATACCTGTTCCGATTTTCATCATCATAAAACACAGAGTGTCCGAAAAAAAGAAATCATCATTTTCTTCAAATAGGTGATCAGCAAATGTAGTTCTGTGGTTTATCTAGAAAGAAATAATCACAAATTATCATTGAGGATTATTTCAAATATATTTGTACCAATTTTCGTCATTTGAATATACAATGTGTCTGAGAAAAAAATTGAAAAGGATAGGTAAGCAATATTTTTCATCTTGATTATTCTTCACTCAAAATAAAAAGATGAATCAGGATCACTTGGAACATACCTGTATCGATTTTCATCATCATTAAACACAGGGTGTTCGAAAAATCAAATCATTATTTTTTTTGAGTTGATGAAAAAACTCGTGAAAAAATATTGCCTCTTTTTGTTTTTAATTGTTTTCTCATACACATTGTACTTTTGAATGATAAAAATCGGTACAGATATGTTCAAAGTGATACTCAATAATAATGTGTCATTAATTCTTCTCAAAAATACCACAATACTACATTTTCTGATCACCTATTAATAAAAAACATAATTCGTTTTTTCGGACACCCTGTGTTTTATGATGATAAAAATCAGTAGAGGTGTTTTTCAAGTGATAGTGATTCAGAATCCATCATTGTTTTTTGTGAAAAAAATCCCTAATAGTACTTTCTCAAATATGGGTCAATAAAGTTGGTCACAGTTGGCCATGATTACAGTTTATGAGTAAAATCACTCTCTTGTTGGATGGACAATTCAAATACCTATCCAACAAAAAAAAGTTTTTTGAAATCGGTCAGATAATAACAATTTTACAGGGGTGGTAAGTCCTTAAGGTGGACACACTGTAGATAATCAGTAATTTAAAGTTAGCATGATGAAGCAATTAGTATGAAACAGTATTGTTGAAGTTGAAATATTTTCAATATTATAGAAAATCAATTAAAAACTATTAAAATCTAAAAGTTGCAATAGACCATTAATTTGAGACTTATATGTAAAATTACAACTTTTCTCAGTTATCATTTTTTTTTTAAGCAAATCTCAATGCCCAAGTAAAAATTTGGAATAAATTATTATTGAAAGTTTTTCCCATATGATGCCAACTTTCTGAAATACACTGTGGACTGATGGATGAAGTAATGTTTTTTTTAGATTCTGACATCTCACCTTACTCATGATAGTGGAGTTCACACAATGTCCAGTAAAAGGGACAGCACTTTTGGTGACAATTCCTCTTTACCATATTCATCACACAAACTCCACTCTCATGCACATTTGAGGAGAACGAATAGTGACTGTTCACCTATGCAATATCAGTATGGGAATCTGCACTCTAATATGGATAATTTACGGATACACAGCTATGATGCCCTTCCTCACATTAGTCCTTCCACTGATGTAAGATCTGAGCATATTTCAGTTCTGTCAAACTGTCATTCCAATTATGATGGTTCAGTCAAGCCCACTTGTCAAAATATGGATGTTGGAATTAGCCAGTGCAGCCAGAAATGCTATATTCCTTCAGATCCAGGAGGTTGTGAGTATTTTGATTTGTCAATTCCTATATACAATTTCATAACAGAATTTGTTATTGAATGATTGAAATGTTGCTGTGGCCCTGCCACTTTTTCTCAACTAAACAATTGGCTCTGGAATACTTTTGTAAGTAAGGCAAGGAAATTATTGAAATTTTGCTGTGGCACAGTTCAGTCTTTAAGGTTAAAAAAGTTTTTTGAATTTTGAGGGAAACTTGAAGAAAAATGTATAGCCAGGCAATTTGCCATTACAGAATGAACTTATGAGAATATTCCTGTTTCTTCAGTTTTTACTGAATAATTATTTATTGATTTTCATGAATATCTGATTTTTATTATGTTGGAGAATTCCCGAGTTCTTTGCTACTTTTGCTAGTAGTTTAATAGCAATATGGTATACTTCTTAATTATAAAGCAAATAACTACCCCATTATTTCACAATATTTGCCTTGATGGTAACATGAATGTAAATATTTTAAGAAACATATACCACAAAACTGTTGGTTGATAAAATCTATAACTATCCACTAGTAGTTCCATATAAGTAAGAGCCCGACTAGTATATTTGATTTTTCATTTTGAATACCTCTTGCTGCAGTGAGGAATATCATTGATGGAATCGCCTTTACCATGGTAACTCCATCAATTTTTTGAAATAAGAGTAGACTTTTATATTCAGTGTCAATTAATGTCATCACAGATAACTTATTTTGGGTTTGATCCGAGGTTCCATCATATCATTTGGCATCTCAGAAATGTAATAGCAGATAAGGAACCCTATTTATTCATACGCCCGGCAGTAAAGTAGTCCGCGGGCTGTAAAATGACACTTTACGCCCGGTCGTCCATAAAACCATTTTGATTTTTGAATTTACTCGGCCGTTACTTGGTAGACGTCGAGTGGAAGTGCATTGTAATAGGAGAGAACACTAATTTCTAGAAAAAAAAAAAAAAATACCACGACGTTCATCAGGATCAAAAAGATAAGATTTTTTTATTCTTAATAGTTTACTGAACATTTAGTCAAATTAGAGTGGACGGACATCCTGACCTTCATCAGAAGGTCAAGGAGGTTCAGAAAGGACAACTAGAAGAAGGATGTGTAGATATATGGAGAGCAGGGGTAGGCAAAAAGGGCCCATAAGTGCCCTTGGAGAGCATTCTTGTATTCTTATACGAGGTGTTTTTGAAATAAGTACATATATTCAGCACATCAATATGATACAGTCTAAGGAATACTTCCATGACATCAGATTTTTTTAAATTCTTCTAATTAACAAGAAATTTCATCCCGAAAATTGAACAAAAAACGAGAAAAAAAAACAAGTATGCCACTTTAAAACAATTTAAATGATTGAACTCTGCCTGATTGTGCCTTCCGCACGGAAATCGGAACAGAGGTGACGTCAGAATTGCTACAGTGAAGAACTTTGCGTGGAAAAAGGAGTCTAACCCTAAATTTTATTTTGATCCCTGTATTTTTTTTATCGGTGTCATACTATACGTCGAGCTTCCTCAGGGTTTGAAATATTTGCACCCATTTCAATGCCACCCTGTATATTGTGGCATACATTATGGTGAGTGATATCAGATCAGATTGTTAATCGAAATTTGAGATATACCAGAATCTTTTAGTTAAGATTGTACATACCTTGGTATAAACGTATAATTACTAGGGGTGAAACCAAATTTTGTTGCTACTGATTGGATTTTCTTTTAATAAAACAACGAACAACACAGGAAAAAGGACTATGACGTCAGTACTGGCTAGATGATTGTGCCTGTGAACGCTATATTTGAAGATTCATTGAAATTGTAGGACATTTAAAGTGTTTTTGAAATAATACAGATTATCTGTCATATCTTGTCAAAACAATGATGAATTCTTGTTATATTACTACATGTTAGTTATATCCACATTTAAACTCGTTCGTTCATTCATGCTCTAGCCTATTGTCAAGGCCGTGTCCAGAGGGGGGGGGGTCCGGATCCTACCCCGTAGTAAACGTAGTAAACATAGTTTATTGTACGAGTATTTTACTAGTGTTTTTGAAACATGTCGTGTTTTTGAGAATTTTGTGTAAATCTTATCGTTTGTGAAGTTTTTACAAAAACCGTTTTAGGTAGTGGGTCAAATAACGGCTTTTACAACGTGCCTTCTATTGGATCTCATTATTCCGATCCACCCTACAATGAAAATACCGGTAACCACCTGTACAGCCACACCTCAGATTCCTACAGGCCAATGGAACCTCTTAAACCCGTAGAAAATTTCCACCGATCTCAAGATACCCTTCCCGTCCATAAAACCCACAAGACTAAAAACTTGGTGCCCGTATGTTCCCAAAGGCTTCTTCCTACGAGACATCAAACCAAAAATGCCGTTCTCAGTATCCTCAAAGACGGAGAAGTGTGCATCGAGTTTATAAAAAAGCGAGGCTACCCCAAGAGGGATGTGGTTTGCGAGGTTATGAGGATATCCACGGACGGTTTGAGGATAATTCTGTACGAACCCGATGGGGGTAAGGGAGTCCTGCTGAATTCTGAACCCCCTCCTGTACCTGTTCAAGGAGCAGATAAGATATATGGCCTCGAAAATCTGCCAGAGAAACATTGGAAGAAGTACACGTACGCGTCGAAGTTTGTCGAATTGGTTAGAGCGAAAACGCCGAAGGTCACATATTACACTGATAAGGCAAAGTGTTTTCTGATGGAGAATCTAATTGATTTTGAGGCTTGCTTCTATGATGGTGAGTGAACATTTTTGGGATTGTAGGCTTCCTAAATGATATCTGGAAGAACAGTTGTAACTGTTATTGTGGAAGATACTTTGAATCTGATCTACAGTATTCTGGAATTATCACTTGATTTTCACACCTAAAACTAGTACTTCAATATTACTAATATTTTTAATTAGTGTATTTGGGAGGAGATGTAACATCTTCAGCAGAAAAGATGAGAAAACAGAATACAAAATAATAATGATAATAATATATGCTTTTATTGACTGCAATGAATATAATACACTATTTTTATTTCAAAAATTAGGGGAGTCTGTTGAAAATATATTTTTGAGTTTCCTTTTAAATAACGGCAGCTCTTTTCGTTTGATTTCATCGGGTATCCTATTGTGAAGCCTGGTTATCATGTAACTGAAAGATGACTGATGTATAATGAAGAGGGGGAGTTAAGCGTGACATTGAGGTGATGATCATCTGTTCGGAAGGTAATTTTATTGTGTAAGAGATCACCTCTTCTTCTCAGTCCACAAATCAGACGGACACAAGAGTTCTGAAATAGTTACAGGTGTCGCAGATTAGACTTTGATATGGCTTGACCGTAAATGACATCTCCATAGTTGAGATGAGAGAGTACTAAAGCATCGCACAGAGTAATTTTACATTTCTTAATCAAAATACTTCTATTGGAATAAATTAATTTCAAATTGAAATATGCCCGTTTCATAATCATATTGATATGCTCGTTATACTTGAGTGACGAATCCATAAGGATACCTAAATTCTTTGTGCATTATGTTGTTGGGATTAATTCATCATTAATCCTAATATCCAGTTTGTGAATAGTTCTTTCTCACGCCTGCTTTTTACGGAAGAGCATGACGAATGACTCAGAAGGGTTGATACTAAGGCAAAACTTGTTGGAAGTCGATAGGATTGAGTGCAAATCTGTTAATTTGGTCATTTGCAGTTAGATCTTGATCATTGAATCATTGATCATGAAAATAAACTTGAAGTTAAAGTTTGCTGGAGTATTTTTTCAAGAAAAATGAACAGTATCTTTCAATTTGCTCCACCTCAGTCCCTATTCTTTGTTTGGCCTTCTATGAGTATCAAAAGAGGGTCAATTTCAAGTGAATAAATCTCTTTTCTATACAGTATAATGCTCCTAGTATGATAATTAACCCTCGGAGAGCTCATTTTTTTGTTTTATAAATCCATTTTGTGACCTTCATCGTAAATCGAAAACTCTTTGATAAATTGTCAAGCTTTCGAAACGTCTCATTTTCATTATCAAGACATCTGAAAAAACAGAGACCCATGATAAGTATGGTATCTTGTGTTGAATTTGAAAAAACTTACTAACTTGAGGAGTTATATAAGAAGCAACTAGTGCACATCATAGTTACTTACTAACTCGAATAGTTAGTTGGTGTTCGACATTCAAAAATTCCAAAACGGATGTGACGTTGAGATTTTAAAAAAGTACGTGACGTAGAACTGTGTCAATGTCAGGACGACAGTTCTACTTGAGTTAGTAAGTGTCTTCAAATTTAACACAAGATACCATACTTATAATGAATCTCTGTTTTTTCAGATGTCTTGACAATGAAAATAAAACCTTTCAAAAGCTCGACAATTTAATAAAGAGTTTTTTCTCTACATTGGCCACCCCCTTTTGGCTGCAACCTCAAGGAAAACATCGATTTCAACTGTTGTTTCCCAAATATTAGTTATATATATATTATATATTTTTTTCAAGAACTGAAAAATAGAAATAAAAAGATGATCGGGAAATGAAGGGAGTGATTTTTCACTGAGGTCACCACAATCTGCCTACTCCTCAGTTAATATCACGGAAGGTATGTGACTTGACGCCGGGGTCTCAATCTGCCTACTCCCCAGATCTCTTCATTGGTTCTCTCTATGGTCTCAATGTGCCTACTCCTTCAGGAGAGAGGAAAAAATATCCCTAATAGTTAGTACTTTTTGAAATATGCGTCAATAAAATTAGTCGCAGTCGGCCATGATAACAGTCCAACAATAAAATCATTCTTGTTGGACGGACATTTCAAATATCTATCCAACGAAAAAAAATTCGAAATCGGTCAGATAATGACGATTTTACAGGAGTGGTAAGTCCTTATGGTGGACACGCTGTATGTATTCTGAGTCCTTGAGATATTCGAAAATTAACAACATGATTGGCTGTTCCAGGAGGGAAAATAACTCAGTCAAATAGTGAAGGTATAACAATAATCGATAGTTCAGGAAACAAATACAATTTCCATTCGACGATGGAATGCAGTACATTGTCGGGAGCGCTAGAACTGATGTGGAATCACGCACAGGAGTCCCTTGAATACTGCATGTTGTTGGAATCGACGTTACGTGGAATGCCACGATCCTCTTTTCCCGTTATTGTCGGACGCAGGCCGTCATCCGGTGTTTCTGCAGAGAAGGAAAATCAACCACAAACAGTCATTGTAAGTCCTGTATATATTTTTTATGACAATTTAATTCATGTATCAAAAATCCCACAAGCCACGTGATTTTTTCATTATGACAGCGAAAAAAGTTTGCCCTAACTTTTCCAGGGACAATAACGGAACCTAACTTTTGGAAGCATCACAACCAGCCATAAACAAATGTTTGATGAATGAAATTGTCTTGCCGAATTACACTCTAGCTTTTTTTTAGTCCAAGTAAACTTGGCATTTATAATTCGAATTTTGTTGCCATTGAGTAATTCAACTCAGAAAACTGCGGAGGCAGTTTTTTAGGAGCATCCCGCAATTCTACGATGCCCGATTCTCACGATTCCCAATTCCTGCAATGCCTCATTTCCACCATGCCCACCTTTCTTGGATTCCCACCATGCCCACATTTCTTGGATTTCCACCATGCCCACCTTCCTTGGATTCCCACCATGCCCACTTTTCATATATTCCCACGATGCCCAATTCCTACGATGCCCAATTTCCATCATGCCCACCTTCTTTGGATTCCCATCATGATGAAGGTGGGCATGGTGGAAATTGGGCATCGTGAGAATGTATGAAAAGTGGGCATGGTGGGAATTGGGCATCGTGGGGATGTATGGAAAGTGGGTATGGTGGGAATTGGGCATCGTAGGAATCTATTAAAGGTGGGCGTGGTGGGAATCTTGTGTTTTCTGAATTTTTCTCATAACCTGGTAACGTTGCACTCTTCGGCAATCTTCGTAATCGTCGACATAAGGGAAATGGGAATGGGCGTGTACACCTTAGTAGAACTTTTAACTCGAACCATGTTTATAATGATCCTTTTATACATAAATAATGATTGGCGACCTAATTCGATCGAAAAATTAACTGGAATGTTTTATTTTTGGACATAAATAATAGTACCTTCTGAAAACGGACCCTCTTATGACGTAGAAACCTCATCTCGCCATAGTTAAAATAAAATACCAAAAGCCCGATGGAGACTGAGGCAACTGATATATTAATTCTTTCTACTGTGATCTCGCGCTAATTCACTCTGTCAGAAATCATGTATCATTCATCTCTGCCTGGAATAGTCTTGTTTCAGTATTAGGGTTTTGACGTCACATCATCGCCTCGTTTTCAAAGGTCCGAGGATTTCAATAATTTTTTATAAAACGTAGGGAGCTCACAGCAAGAAACGGTTTGCGGTGGTGAGCTAGTTTGGGTGAGTTCCATCGAATTATGAAATATAGTTTTTTTTTGTGATATAAGCCCATTGGGCATCGTGCTACGCACCCAGTTTTTTCTAAGTGACCAATACTAATACTGTGAGTTGTGATTATTATATAACTGACAATTCAAGCAAGCCTATCCCATAATGGGGGGAAGATGTAACTTAAGCTGGATTCCTAGCCTCCCTACGCTCGGCTATGAATTCAGCCTCGGCAGTCAATCTACTACTTTGCTGCCTAGTTAAACAAATAACTATTCTGAACACTTTTAAGCAAACATGATAATCCGCTAAAGTAAGAGCCGATTTCGAGGTATTTCGGTTTTTAATGTTCCATGCAGCACCGGAATATTCCAATTATTTTGTATACAAAATGTTTGTTGTTATTTTCTTATATGTAATTTGGTCAGTGAATTAACAGTGCAAAATCAATTTTTCAAAATATTTTCTTAGAGTGTATACTTGTCGATTTTTATTTTTTATCTTCACCACCCTGTATCTCGGAAACAGAGCAATTTCGGACTGAGGTGAGTTGCTTTATCGGCCTATTTTGACCTCAGGAATATGTGCTAAGATTTTGTACAGAACTTTTAGGGACACCCTGTATAATTACAGGTATCAAAAAACCATGACATAACACCTCAACACCCATCTTACCTTTTCCAGTGCTTTTTCAGTTTTGAAATTGAAATGACTAATTTGAAATTCAATCATTTTGAAATTGAATAGATGATATTGAAATATATTTGATGCTTTTTGAAGTTAAACTGACTAATTTGAAATACAAATGATGTTTTTCGAAATCCAAATGACTATTTGGAAATGACCATTTTTGAACTAAAATTGGAAAAGGTGTCGACTACTTGATTTTGCTACTTCTAAGATCACTACTGTTTTTCTCATGGATTTGTTGTTTTAGCCTTCATTCACTGTATCAATAGATGCTACCAATCCCGGTTCATCTTTCGGAAATTCATCCAATTCTAGAGAAAAACGGGTCACCGTGCCAGGAGTTGGTACGGCATTTCAATTATCTAACGGAGAGGTGCAAGTGAGGTATCCTGAAGGGTCTCAACTATGGGTTGATGGTAAGTGGTTCATTTATATGGGTTTATTGAGATTTGTAGGAAATTTTATTATATTTTGAATTATTATTGGAAAACATCTGCTATTACACAATCTAGCATGAATAATATAATATGTTCGGAGCTTTGAGGGGAAAATCAAATGAAGACTGACCTGCACAGACTGATTGACAAAAAATGTCCCAAACCATAGCTCCGCTACTAATTATCCGACTTCGAAAAACAAGAAAGTAAATAAAATGGGCCTTTCCATTATCGTGAAATTCAACCCGTCTTCGCTATAATGTTATGAAGGGAAGTTAAAAATGTTATCCTGACCACATATTTATCGAGAAAATTGAACGACAAATGAATCATTTGATATTGAACATGCTATTTCAAGGGCTGTGAATTCAAACGCTACTGAGTTGTGATGTCAGTGTCTTCTTGCAATTTGATTGGTTGGAGTACTGACGGCTGGGAATCACTCCGATGTAGCCAGATCTCTGTAAAATCATTCAATTGATCCTATGTGCAAGATGATGCAAGGAATGCAATTATTTGAAATTATTATGTAGTAGGTGATTAGTTGATTGGCTGATCACATTCAATTAACTTTGAACTCCAAAGTATTTCATCAGTTTCAAGATTAGCTTGATTGAATGTAATGCAGGCATCTAAAACTAAGACACTTTCTATATACTTGGTTTGGTTTTAGTTATGTTGAAATTTCGTTTACTAATTGATATAATCAACAAATTGAACATTGTTACTATGTCTCAAGCACTCACTTCCGGAAAATTCAATTGCTAATCTGGCGACTATGTCTACAAGAGAAAGAGATGAAGCAACTGGCGCTAACACAATGTTGCCATGAAAAAAATACCTCATTTCCCGCATAACCTCACTGTTCTTATTTCTCAATATTATTGACAAGAATGCAGTGATGCTTGTACTTGAATCAATAGAAATAGAACCAAGTAAGCAATTTAGCATTGATTGATTCAGAATTTGTTTCTTTCCCTATGGTAGATAGGTAGGTACATAAACTTGAAAGTACTTTACTGAAAGGGTTTTGAAACTGAATGTAATGAATATCTGCACTGTAATTCAATACAAAATGAAATTTCACTAATAATTTTGAATAACTCTCCAACCGAAATCAACCAACTAACTGATCATGCAATGCAGATTTTTAATACCACGAATTTTCAGGTAACTAGTTATTAGTTGAGCTCTCTAACAGCATCTGTATTATTTGCTTAAATGAAAAAATCGAGAAATGAATATCCGACTTATCATAGCCTTCTGTCCAAATTGGCAACATTGTCAAGTCCAAATTTTAACTGTAACGTCAGCGACTGTCAACTTGCCCCTTTTTAATTTTTTTGCCGATAGAAGTTTTTTTCTGAATACAATGATGACATGTTGATTTTTAGACAAAATTAGTTGAAATAATATATGAATACAAGAAATAGATATTTTCATGAAATTTTGAGATGTATCGCATTAATGTGGCAGTAAAGTCACTGAAATGGACGTTAGTGTTTCATTTGTCAGATGTCAGATTATTTCGAAACCGCATGTGATTTTGAAGTGTGCTGTGAAAATAAAAAATTTCACACATTATACTGATTGCTCCATGACATATATGACAAGATGATCTTGTCATTTCCTTATGAATAAAACGAAATATGAATTTCATCTTGATTTGTCATGAAGAAATCAGTAGTAGTTGTGTGTTCAACATAATGATGACCAGGTTAAACATTATTAATTTTTTTTTTCACAGCACACTTTGAAATCACTTGTGGTGTCGAAAAATCTGACAAACGAAACACTGATGTTCATTTCAGTGACATTTACTGTCACATACATCTCAAAATATTATGAAACTGTTTCATTTCAATGGAACATTTATTTTTTATGTCAACTAGTTTTGTCCAAGAGTCAACTTATGATACATCATTGTATTCAGAAAAAATCTCGAGCGGAGAAAAACATTCAAAAAACATTAGGTGCCATTTGGAAAAAAAAAGTTGACAGTCCCTGACGTTAGAGTTTAGATTTGAAAAAAGTATCGGAAGATTAATAGCGGCGCTATGGCTCGGAGCATTTTTCGTTAGTCAGCCTATATAAAAATTGTTTTTTTAGGAAAACATAATGTGCGATACCAATACCCTGATGGTCGAATCGTCAATTATGTTGATAACGAAATTATTCCTCGTGTAATAATGGAAAAACTGCAACATATGCCAAAAGTACTGAAGCATTTGATGCCGAGCCCAGTAGTCCACAAAGTACACAATTTGAGATGATAGTTTCCCAGTTCATCTTAATGTTAAGAGAAAAACTATCTATTGTTATCTATTTTTAATTTATTTGATTATGTAAGGAAATTGGAAGTTGTAATTTCATTAAAGATCTATGAAGTTATCATGGATTTTTTTAATCAAATTGTCTGATGGAGGAGTCCTCCAATTTGTAATATAAGTAAATATTCCTTATTTATATAAAGAAATCAGTATTTATCTTATTTAATAAATCGAAATTTTGATATGGAATGTGAATTATTTATTTCCCAAATGATTGTAGATCGTTTACCTTTCTCGTGTTTTGTACAGATCCACAATATAATACACCATAAAAAAATAGGTAACCGATTATACTCATGTATATCTTCAGAAATCAACCTGTGGCCGGCAACTTATGGTATTACAGCAGATTAGCTAAACTATGAACAGATTTGGATGTGGAGCCATTTTCTAAAATGGCCGCCAGTAGTCACCCGAAAGACTTCAGAAGTTAGATAAAGTTTGCTGCTGAAGGTTTGTGAATGTTTATCGAATATGAAATCATGCCGTTTATAAGACATAAACCGGGTGTTTATCTAGTGTGTGGAAAAGCTCTATATCTGCATTGAACAAAGAGATAGATCTTTTTGGGGATAGGTATAGTACGATATCGTTTTTTCTATGAAGCAAGATCATTCAAACTCTACAGGATGTTCTTTGAACGCGCGGCTACAGGTTTGATTTTTTTGATTGGTTCAGAATGTAGGAGATAAAGGAAAAATTCGAGAAAAAGTATTATATCATGAAAGTTCTTGCATGATTTTTCTTCAACAAGTTTGTTGGAATCATCTGTGTATTATAATTTTTAGGAATAATTTTATTAAACTTAGTAACATTGCAAAAGAATTGCAAAGATAAAGACATAGATTGTGTACATGAGATTTTTTTTATGTTCTGGTTCCCACGAAAAGGGATATCCTGTTATGTTCAGAGAACATCGTGAGAACCAAGGAAAATAAGGTAGGAATTGGTGTTCATCATAAATTACTGGAGGTTATATAAGATAACGATAAATTAAAATATGAGGAGAAATATATAGAAGGTGTTCCATTTAAAGAAGCTATAGAGCTTTTCCACACTACGAGGACACCCGGTATATATCTTATTAAAGGCATATTTTTCCATTCAAAACATTCAATGAACATTCAGCAGTAAACTTTATCTAACTTCTTCCTAAGTCTTTGGGATCTGTACTGTCTACCATTTTGGAAAATGACCACCACGGCCGCCAGGGGACAGTTGGCTGCACATCCAAATTCATATTATATTGGTGATGATGGAAATAAGTAGAATTGATCTACCTCTCTGCCAAATTTGGTGATGCCTTCATCAAAAAGTTCACAATACATTGAAATATTCTAGATTAACTGCTGCACTAATCAGAATAGAGATATACACTTGATATATACATATATACCTTATTGTAGAGCCCTACTTTTGCTAACATTGCAATTCTAAGAATCACGGAAACAATATTTGCCTAGGACATCCACAATGTGGTGGTGAGAATTCAAAATGATATCCACTTGAAATAATCTCATGAAAAGCATTCTGTATTTTTATTTGGCCACAACTAAATTAATACATTGAGCAGAAAAATATCTGATATTTACAGATACAAAATGATATAAAGAAATTCTTCAATTCTGGAGTTACTTCTCAACCTATATTTTGGAATTCCGTCCAATAAATTGCCAAACCAAGAAATTCTTTGATATTATTTAACAAATAATAGGAAGATACTTAAATCCCCATTATGTTCATGGAACAGTGATGTCAAGGAATTAGTGAGAGGCATCACTAACACACTAACTAGGTGACTGGATAGTCTCTGAATGAAATCTGCCAGTATTAACAAATGTTTATCTTAGTGGCAGAACCCTATGTTTATCAGAACAGTATTCTGAAACATACCTGATTTGTGCTTTGTAGTTTGTAGAAAATAAAATGCATATTCATGGTAATGTTTCTTTTTCATTGAAAAAAATCAACACTCATGGAAATAAATGTAAGCATGTATTAAATTCCTGGAAATTTTATAAATTCAGTTAACACTGGTTAATCATGCATTAGAAAATGAAAGGCATATTAATGTACTTTCATCACTCATTGGACAATAAATACAAGAGGTAATCAATTAAAAAAAGGTTTTTGAGATTAGTCTTCATCAGCTTCTAAATTAATGTGGCTTCCAAATTTTCCATATAAATGTGATCTCAAATCGCTCATTGTTTCCTTAACTCCATTTGATTTTTCTTTGAACTGCTTGATGTCATCCTGGATTCTTTTTTTTGCATCATCCAAACATTTTTGAGTTTTCTCGACATTCTGGTATATAAAAACTTCACCAACCAAATAAGGGACTTGCTCCTCATCGTCGAAGAGAGCTATTTCATCACATGCATCTTCTAGACTCTTCAGGTCGTTCTCTTTGACTTTGATTTCATCTTTGAAATCCTCGAGTTTTGCGTTCAGCCTGGCAAATCTGTTAATTTTTTGTTGATCTTCGTAAGATATGTGAACATCTGAATCGGGTTGGAAAGTTCCTTTACTGCTTGCAGATGCCATATTATGATAAATCACAGATATTAATAAAAAATGTTGGGCAAATCAAATTAGCAAAATACGAAAATAATTCCAGAAACTAGACACTAACCGTAGATAAAATTCTTCCTGCTATTTGTTCAGAAGCAGTACTAAAAGACTAAAACCCAGAACGGCCAGAACTAAGAATACTAAGATGCCTATAACCCCCCCAGGACCAACAGAACTCTGGCTTCTTCTTTTCTTCTTCTTCTTCTTATTTAATACTCTTCCTTTGATCAGTTTGATCGGATGTTGCAAAAGTGTTGATCACAGTCGGAATTTTAGACCAATCAGGACGATTATGGGATTGGCGGTAAATTTAAATAACGCATTATATCGATAAATATGAAGATACTGAGTGTCAAAATCTGATGATATCGGTTTTTCACATATTTACATGTGAAAAACGCTGTTTTCAACATGAATGGGATTTTCGCAGCCGCCATCAGCTAGTCGATGTTATCATCTATGTCGATTAGACTAAATCACACGACTTTTTCTTACTCCAGCACCTTCATATAAACTTGTATGTTTTGGAGCTTATTAATTTTCGAAATAGATATAAGTTTATTCACGTTATAGAGATATTATTTGACTTTCTCCATTATCGGAACCTTATCTATTCCAGTCAAATAATAGTTCAGTCATCGCTCATCGCGTCGGTCGGATATAGGTAGGTTTTAGAAGCGTGAATAACGACTCACCAAGTACACTCCAAGAAAGTATTTTGAAAAACCCATTTTTGTACTGCTAATTGACTGACCAAATAACATCTACGAAGATAACAGCCAACATTTTGTATTCAAAATAATTTAAATAATATCCCGCCGGTACGGCATATCGAACACTAAAAACCGAAATATTTCGAAATCGGCTTACTTAGCAGGAGTACATTTTTTGCTTAAAAATGTTCAGAACACTATTTCCTTGACGAAAAAAGTGAAAAACTACACTGAGAAAAAAGTTATGGTCATTCTAAACCATATATGAAGAGCATTTTTGAGCGCCCTCCCAGCCAACCATCGTGTGACATCAACATCTGTGTGATGTAACAACCTTGCATAAATGCAATATCTCGTTAACACATCTTATCGACGTAGATTCGATATCAACGCGTCGCAAGGTGTGACATCGCAACCAGGAAACTATGTAATGTGGCAGCGACTTCTTCAAACTATATATACATATCTCTTCGACGTTAACTAAATAATTCACATTGATATCCTCATGAGATATCTTTGTGACCTGTGAGTGTGACGCCGCAGACATGCGCAAAACGAACGCAAAAGTTCATTTGAACATGGGTTTGAAAATGCTTCGTTTCCGAGATATAGGGTGTCCAAGTTAACAAAAATTTTTCGATAATATCTTGAGAAAATATCTCTCACAAAATTTGAAGATCGCATACATTTCAGAGACGGTATATGGGTTCATGTCTTTTTTGTTTACACAAATAATAATGTGCAATACATTTTTGGATGGTATCTGTACCTCTAAGCATCTTTATTTCTCCTTATATGAAGTTCAGAGATATGCCGAGGTATGGTATATTATTGTCCGTATTTCTCCAAAACGAAGCAAGATACGCAAAAATAGCAGTATTTTTAGTGGGTTTATCTAAATATTTAAGGGGAACCTGAGAAAATACACACGGTGACTTTTTTCTACAAAAAAAATCTGACTTGCTGGATTGGTACGCCCCTGGAAATTCGGGATCCAATATAATTGGTCCAGTAAATTTATGATTATTGTGTAAATGTATACCATTCAAATTTCATGTAAATCGGCTCAATCGTTTTGGAGATACTAATAAAAAACTCGTTATTTTTACTTCGACACCCTGTATCTCGGAAACAAAGCATTTTCGGACCCATGTTCCTATATACACTTTTTTCATATTTTCCTGAGAGGAGGCTTTTGTCATCAAACCTCTGAAAAACCCTGTATAGGAGCAAAATTCTATCGCTTTGTTCGAAGCGAAGGAAGATGGAATTTTACATATTTTTGAACGTTTTGGGAACAAATCTGCACCCGTTTTCAATAAGAAAATGGATATCAATTCTTGATAATGAGTCTTCGTTTTAGTGTGGAATGATATTTGTGTTTATAGAGGGGAGAGAGAGAGCCCAAGCAATCTAGAGAAATAGGTAAATACCTACCAATGTTCGAGTTCCCAAGTTCATCTTTTGGGGCAGAAATGAAACCCATTTTATTCGAATCAGTCGATATTAAATTTGAAAGTGTAGAAATAGACATTTGCAAATAATAGGTACCTACTAGCCTCTACTAGTCCATTTTGTCGATATAACGGTATACTTCAGAAGCGCTGGATTAGGATGCGGGCGCAGCGAGGCGCTTCATTTCTACTCACAAAAAAAACTCTGCTTCTCGTGGCTTGGTTGAAATCTCTGTAGTCAAATCATCTAACACAGATTCGATTTCAACAGAAATTTCGAAACATGAACGTATCGATTCATATCTATTTTATTGATAATAACAGTTATGATAGACACTCACGAAGTGCATTTCCAGGGGGGGAGGACGTCCGCCCCCTGCCCTCCCCCCTCCTGGCGCCCATGATGATGACATCACATAATCAAAAATGCATTGTTTTATGCATGATGCTGTGGTTAGAATCATGCGTTTTGATATTTCTCTATAAATAATCAAAAAACTAAAAAGACGCGCTTTTATAGATAGCCAAACTAAAAAGGAGTGAAGACAAAATAACTGATTACGACAACCGATTTACCTCATTGAAAAAGTGGTGAAGAGAAGAAAATGTACGTCAAATGGTTGGGACTCGACATGAAACGGATTATTTATTGAAAAAATTCTCCTTATTTTGCGAGTGTCTCTAAATAAATGAAGAGAAATTTGGACAGACCTCTGTATAGATACCTGTACTCGAGCCTGTACTAATCTAGTTGGTCTAGAATATTAAGACTTATTATATGAAATAAAACACATATATTGATATTACATTTTTTTAATACATTTACAAATGAAATTGAAATAATTGAATCAATCACTGATGGTTGATATACCTGCACGATAAAAATAACCTATAAGTATGTAAAGTGCACTTTACCGCCCGGATTTGCGGTCGAAAGTGTCACTTTCCAGCCCGCGGGCCGTGAAGTACTTCTCTGTTCTCAAATTCCTTATATTCACATACCAATTCATGAAATAACTATGTTCGCACTCTAAGTTGATTCTATGATTTCCAGCGTTATATTGTATACAACATGTTCTTCTTCATCCCATCACTTAACTAACGCACTTTCTTTGATTAATTGCTTTCTTGCTGTTGATGTTTTCACCCACAGGATGACAATTTAGCTTGATATTTTGATGTATTGCTTGATTGCTAGACAAATGCCATACCAGCTATCGATTGACAACGTCAACATTAGGTAGATATATACTGGGTAACATTTCAAGAAATAAATCTCTTTTGGTGAACAGAGTTATACTTTATATATAAAATGTTTTTAATTGAGATCTAGTTATTACTTTTGACTCGAGAAATAAATCACTAGTGCATAAAATGTTGTATGCATCACGTGCGTAAAATGCGTTTATGGCCTTCAGCGCCTACTTCACGACCTTGATACATATGTACAGTAATTATGCTACACACCAAAAGTATATACCAACCTGAATGGAAGTTACGAGTTGGGTGTGGGTCAGATCATCTATATAATGAAGGTTTGGATTATATCTGGTGTGGATCTATGGTACTTACAGAAACAATCATTATATCTCGAAAATGAACAATACATTTTTACCCATAATATCATTCTTCATTCATTTGCATGAAACTATACAAAAATTCTATACAAGTTATCATATATTATTGTTAGGGCCTTAGACCAAAACGTAAACTCTGAAGTGAATTTCTTCAACTTTGTCATAGAGATACATATGTGGTTGAATATAATGTGTACTTAAGTAGCTTCATGATCAAGCGAGATGTGAGTAGAAAACATTATCATTTTTGCTTCCTGAATGACTAGTTATATGTGTGACCAAGATAAAAGGTTGCACAGTATGGGGATCCCGGAAACAGGATTCGGTTGGACACCACTGGACATTCTTCATTGGGGATACGTTAAAAATTTTGTTAACGCAAAATTTTGTTTTCTGATACGAAGAAGAACTAATAAGGGACAATGTTATCGAAGCATTCAATAGTAATACCCCAGAAATGCTCAGAAATGTCTTAGAGGCAACTGTAAGAAGAGGATATATTTTCGTTTAGAAAATAATGGTTAAAATTTAGAACATTTTGTCATGCATGTACCAAGCACACCAAGTTTTGGTTATGCACATCCTGTAGAAGGTTGTGATGAGAACGAGTTGTCATGAAGACATGAAAAAAAAAGAGGTTGTTTAGAAAATTGTCAGCGTAGACTGACAAGACGATTGTGAAAAAGCTGATTAAAGAAAATACTTAGAACATCTCACTTAGAACCATCTCCAGAGCGCTGCAGTTTCATCAGTAGGCGAGTCGTTGCAATCCATAGACGTAGCGAGACATTACTGAGACAACGTGTTCCGGAATAGTGATAGACAACTCAGGCTATTACGCTTCAGGAGGTGAAAAGGAGTGGCTATCGACGGATAAGGCAGTGGAATTCATGGTATATGTTCCAACTAAACTTCAAAGGTGCAAAAGAGATCAATTGTAAATAGGATTTGTTTATAACTAAATATAAAAATTAGAAATATAATCATCATTTCACCTGAACCTCACTAATACAAACCCCTAAGGTAGAAGGTCAGTGCAACGTTAAATCTCATCAAAGGTTGCTGTGGAAAAGTATTTTCAGTTTTTCTGTATCTCTAATAATAACGTAGAAAAAAATAAAATAAATTCCAAAAATTCACTTCTTTCGATATAACTGAAAAACTATAAACAATTTTGAAGAATTTCGAAGGCTGTTTGGCCTCGGAATGCGCATCTCTCTTCTCATTCAACCAAATCCGTATCTTCTCCCGTTTCCGAAATCCCCATGCTGTGGATGATATAGGTACAGAGCTGGGCAAAAACGCTCAAAAAGAATGTTCAAACATTCTCGAAGTATGTTGGATTGTACCTATTTTAAAATATTCCAGAAGTATTCAAATAGTACAGAATTATTTGAATACTTCAGATATATACCTATATTCAAATACTTCACGAAAATATCAGAGCAAACTTTATTAAAATCATTAACCAACGATATCCGGTTTAGAAAAACAAAAAAGCATATGAGATCACCCACCAGATACACGATCGCAGATACTAGAGTAGGCTCTGTGTAACGTCAGCAACTGTCAACTTTTTTTCTGAAAGGGATCATTTGTTTTTTTTTTCTATTCGAGAATTTTTACTGAATACGATTATAATGTAGGTATAACAAATTGAATTTTGAAGACAATGTGTTGAAATAAAAGCTCAGTTGACAGGAAATAGATATTTGCATACAATTTCGATTTTCGAATTACAATGGTCAGTTTGATTTTTAAATATTTTTCGGAATATCTGACACATGAAACACTGATATTTTTTTCAGTGACATGTCTTGCCACATTCAATGATACATCTCAGCTAAGCATTCATATTTCATTTCAACCAATTTTGTCCAGAATAAGTCAACTTGCCATAAATCACTAAATTCAACTAATACAAGAACATACTTATGGTGCCAATAAAAAAAAGTTGACAGTCGCTGACGTTTCAGTTGGAATTTCCAAGAAATAATGATCATATACTTAGAGAATCTGATTTCATTTCATTTGCTTTTTTGTTTGTTCAAAATCGGATGAGGCGCTGGCTTGGGGCGTTTTTTGTTAGTCAGCCTGTATAAAAATATAATTGCCTATACCAGATAGTATTTGAATACTCCGGGTATTCGAATACTAATCAGTATATGAATACTCGAAAGGATTTGTGAATACAAAAAACATACATTGACTGCAAAAAACATTACCCTTCCTTTTAACTCTGCCGTAGTCGTTGTAATAATGCTCAGCTTTGAATTACATTTCAAATACTATTATCTAAAGGTACATACATACCTTTTTTAGAATATTCCACTCACCACTATGAACAGACCTCTAATACTCCTGTATTTCATAGTATTGAGTATAAACATTAGATAAATACACTTTTCGGCATTGTACCACAAATCTGCCATACAATATGTATACATATGTAGGTAAATTCTATCAAAATATGATCAACATACCTAAGTACTTAATATACTTTCTTTTTTATATTGATTGTACCAGTATTAGTTTGGTTTATTCTAATCTTCCACAGCCTGCAAAATCTCTTAAGACATCGTTCTTAGGAATCAACTTTTAAATTCCAAAAATAACTACCACCCCAATCATTTTAACGCCTATCGTTTTTTCACCAGTTTAGGCTCGAAAGAATTCACGATACTCTCATAACTCGGCCTCGTTGCGTCATCCAGTGGAAAATCATACTCGGGTATTCGGAAAACTTTTCTCAAATCTTGCCACTGCGATTGGTTGAAAGACTTCATGAAATTGTTCATGCGTATCCCGGGTTGTTCTTGCAATTCACTCTCATCTAGAATGAACTCTTGGTCCAAGCTAGCTGGCTGGTGGAATTTGGGAGGAAATCCCCCATTCGCAGATTGTTGGCCACCGGGAATTTGGTTGGGGGCAATTGGTGCAAGTAACCCTAATAGGCTCGGATCGGGGCTAGTAGTCTCCACATGCGTCGGATATTGAGGAGTGGTTGCTTTGAAATGCGATTCGAAGTTCACGAAGTTGACGTCTTTAGGAGGTAACACACCTAGATCGTACGGGTTAGGGCTAGTAGATTCGACGCTTTTGGGGTATTGAGGTGTTGTAGCTTTGAACTGTGACTGGAAATAGTCAGGAACGTTTTGTTTTGGCGGTAACAATCCTGCTGAAATCGGGTCAGGACTCGGAAGTTCGACAAAGGTTGGGTATTGAGGTGTTGTTGCTTTGAACTGTGACTGGAAATAGGCTGGAACGTTTTGTTTTGGCGGTAACAATCCAGCTGAATTCGGATCAGGACTTGTAGATTCGACAAATGTCGGATATTGTGGAGTGGTGGCTTTGAATTTTGACTGAATGTTGGCGAATCTTGATTCTGGAGGCGAAATTCCTTCTTGACTCGAATAGTCACGTACAGGATCCACGAAGTTAGGGAATGCTGGCGAAGTATGTTTGAAGTTCGTTCCATCAAGATTGTCTCCCAGATTTTTTGTGAGCTCGTCTTTTGATGGGTACACAGGAGTCGTGGCTTTGAAATCTGAAGGGAAGTTGACACCGTTTGTAGGCGAATTGCCGTTACCCTCACTAGGTGAGTTGCTGAAGAATCTATCGTTGTCTAAAACCACTGGCGGTAAGAGATCCAGTGATAGTTCTTCTTCTCTGTAAGTGTCGATCTTTTTGCTAGCATACGGTATTGGAGGTAGCAGCCCCAAATCATTAGGATTATTCGTGGTATCTTCTATCGAAGTTGGGTATACCGGTGTAGTGGCTTTGAAGTTTGACTTGAAATTGACCTTTGGGCTGTGGAAGTCTGCTAGTGCATTGACTCGTTGCTTCTCTGGCGCGTTCAAAGGAAGGTTTCCTGAAAGAAAAATGAGAATAAATCGAAATAATCTGATGAATACTGAAAAGAATTTGATTATTTAGAGACCTTGAAAATTATATATACATATATAAAGGAAAATTAATTTTGCATAGGTACCTAATGTTGAATCATTGTCGTTCTAGATGACAACCTAGTAGGCAACCTAGTGCGAAGATATTATAGCTCCTGCCTGTGCCTACTAACTACCTAACTAGGTTGTCATCTAGAACGACAATGGTTGAATTTCCTATTGATTGATTGATGTGTCAATTTTCAAATGGACTTTGCGTTTAACTTTTTACCAAAACATTTAGGTACACATTTGATATAATATAAGTACTTACCGTTTCTGTTGAATGCATTTATTTGTATGGCTTTGGCTTTATTTCTCCCTATGTTTTTTTGAGGAGTGTTCTTTCGATTTGGTGGACGACTTGTGGATGGCAGGGAGCCTGTGGACCAATGACTCGGCGGAAAGTAGGTGGGTTCGTCTGTTGAACTATCGTCTTTTGATTCGGCTCCTACGAGATTTTTGACATTCAAGTTCTGATCTTGCCCTGACGTTCTATAACAAAAAAACAGAAGGTAGAGTTGAGATGATGATAGTGTGATTCACTTATATTGTCTTCGTTCCTAAAGCCAGGAGTCGATATTTGTATTATAATTTCAATGAGCATGTAAAACACATTCAATATAGATATGACATAGAAGAATCGACCTTCTTTCAAGAAATTTCATTTTCATATTTCTTATATTCATCGGGGAATATCTAACAGTTTCGAACATTGTTAAATTTATTGAGATTTATTCACTCCATTATTCCAAAGTAATATTCGAACTAGAGCCACACATACCGAGATTGTAAAACGTGATCAATATTCATGTGAAAAATGTGTTATTCAATGTCTCGTAGCACTAATCACCTTAATTATTGTCAGCAGAAGACTGATAGGAACTGATGGGATCTTGTGGGCCGAAACAGTACTGCCGCACTCTCCTTGAAAATCAAGGAATATTTGTTCATCCTATATAGATCTCTTGTTTATAAGGTCTAGTTGTTACTAATGATTATTGCAGACCTTGCAAAAGCTATAATGAGTTTACTAAACATATCATTTCATATCATATCATGACTGTCAGCTCAAAATTGTCGGCATTGGCAGTTGACTGTTATTAGGTGATTCAGGATCCATTGAGTTCGACTCCACGCAGTTTGAAATAGAAGTTTTTGAGCTTTAAGTCTATGAGGTCAATGTTGGGGGCAATGTTTAGTAGTGTTTTTTGAGTTCTGGCCAAGTGACCCTGCTTCTCAACTTCTCAATTTTATTAATTATGTGATCTCCAACGACGTGTCCTTTTATAGGTATGTTTTTTCCTCAATATATTATATTATCCTTGTAAACCAATATCTTTACAGGTACTGTATATTGTGTCTGAAGATGGCTGTTTGAGCCGAAACTAGTCACAAAAAGTAAAATTTTTGTGATTAAACTTTGTGGTCGACCGACCTCCAGGGTCGGTCATCGTGCACGCGACCTATGAAAATTCCATTGTTTTTCGTTATCCCCCTCCCTTGAACGTCGGCTAGATCTTCCCCTGTCACTCACCTGTATATGATGTTATACTCCGAGGCGTTGGAGGGCGCGGATAGCAGGTCCGGCCTGGGCGTCCGAGCGTACGCGCTGCCCTCCTCGACGAAGGGCCTCTTCTGGCCGATGAGCAGGTTGGCGTCGTAGTCGCCCTCCGCCGCGCCGCAGTCCACCATGTACCAGTGGTCGCAAACGAGCATGCGCTGCTGGAAGAGGGTGGCGTTGGGGCAGGCGTAGCTGAACTGCCGCCCGATGCCGTCGCACATGTGGTAGACCTGTAGGGTGAGAAGGCGACGTTATTTATCCGCCAATACTCAAAGAAATAGTATGGGTTGAATTGACAAAAAAATGTGTTTAATCAACAACATCATCATAATTGTTGAATAAAACTACAATGATGGTACATTCAATGATTAGGTGATCGTCAAAACAATTGGTGAAAAATTGTACATGAACAAATTCAACGTCAACAAAAATTATTAGTTGGTTTAAATACTATTTTTGTGGTACAACCAATAATTTGTAAAAATTAGTCAAATCGAACTAGGAATAGTATTTCAACAACATTATAAATGTAACTGAAATATCATAATAGCTCGCTCACTGTTATATTTGGTAGACAAACGAACAGTAAGTTATAATCAACATATAACTATTTCAAATCAAACTAAAGATAGTATCTGAACTATATTATATTGTAACTGAAATGATATTACAGCTTGCTCACTGTTACAGTTGGTGATCAAACGAAAGGGAAGGTGAAATCAACCTACAACTATTTCAAATCACACTAAAGATAGTATTTAAACTATATTATGTTGTATAACTAATATATTATTACAGCTCGTTCACTGACATAGGTGGTCTTTTTGTTTCACCTGTATAATACTTTCCACAAACACAAGGTATACTATATAGATACAATTTTTTGACGATTGTTCTTCATTTTTTGGCTTTGTTCGAGTTAGAATGGATCTCATTGTATTTTCAGTTTTGAACACAATTTTCACTTGGAACTTATCACCAACACGTTTTATTTTTTCAGATATGCCGGGAATCTACGGTATTATATTCATCGTTATCGATGGTTGTTTTTGTTGTGGTGTATTTTGTTTGTTTTCAATTTGGTGAATCGTTCTATCAATGAAATTCTTTGGATATGAGTTGAGTTGAAGAACATTCAGACAGATTAAAGTCTAATTTCCCATTTGTTGGTGTTTCCTATCTCGGTGATTGACATCAAATATTGATCCGCAACGGAATCACACATTATTGTTCTTAAATTTTTTATAATTAATTTTTTAATTTTCGGATTTAGGAGAAAGTTTCACAAACATGCACTTGAATATATTTCAATCAAAATCAATTCTTGATTGCGTGTTCCACGGTAGATAAATCGGGAATAGTTATAGAAACCTCGTTTTGAAACTATGGTGGTGAGGGAATCAAAGAATTGATGGAGTATGGCAACACCACCATCAAGTTTATATGTAACCAGAATATGATCAAATTTACCTGGCAACCTGTTGCAACATCCGCGTAATATCCAGATGGCCTTCCATCGCAGGAAAATCCTGATTTAGGAAGCTGAAACAAAATATAACAATGAATACTTCGATATAATAATTAGGTATAGTCTTCTCAAAGTCAATTGGAGCATCTCCAGCAAAACATCAGATACGCCGGGCGGTGTTGTGCACGTGGAGAACATTCCTTGCTCTAAAAATGTTTTAACTGACTTTGTATAAACTATACACATACTATGAGACGAATTTATCATTCAATACTGGGAACTGAAGAGGAAATTGAATATAAGAGCACTCGTACTACTATGAGGAAACCATCAGAGACTACTTTGGGCGGGAATGCTCGGAGGAGAGTGATTGTTCACCAAGTTACACAAGTCCATGGATATCGGCTAGGAATCGCCCTGATCTATATCGAAATTTATATACTATCTGTAGTATGGATATAGTGTAGACTAATATTATAGTTTGTATGTATGTCCAAAGACGACAGGCACATTGGCAACAACATAGCAAGAGAGAGCTCACATTTTTGCATAGATGTTCGCAATAAACTGTACTTCGGATTCCCAAGGGAAAGTGCCACTAGATATTCTACCCGTTGAAAGGCGAATGCCCGAAATCGTCTTCCGTCGCATTTTGCGAATTTTGATTGGTCTCGTAACGAATAAGGCTAACGGTACTGATGCAATTCCACCCATTATCCTCAATATATGTGCACCATAATTAACACCGATTCTCTGCAAGTCATTTACCATCTCCTAATCCATCTTGCTGAAAGATAGCTAGAGTCCAACCAATTCCCAAAAAAGAAAACTAAAACCTGCCCAACAACGACAGGCCTATTGCCCTGATATCAGTTATATCCAAAGTGATGGAGAAAGCCATCAACATGGAGCTCATCAAATATTTGGAATGCTCAGGAATCATTATTGATAGACAATATGGCTTTCGCCACCGATGATCAACTGGAGATTTACTTGCCAACCTAAGATAATGTATGCTTTTCATAATTATTCTTTCAGAACCTACTTTTCTGATTGATTTATTCTTCTTTTATTATCATTTAGAGCACACGAAAGAAAATACCTAAAATGTTCGTGGAAAATCGTGGGTACCTAGGGCGAATAGGAAGATGAGGTGTTCAATTTTTCTTAACTTCTGGAGGAGATATATAAGTTCTAAGGAATACTTCCATTGGAAAAGAATTCCAAAGTTTCGTCGTTCTATAGACGAACGAGTTTTGGTAGAGTGTTGTTCGGCATTTTTCAAGGTTGGAGACGAAGGGATGTGCTGACTGGGCCTGTCGAGTTCGCATGACTGGTATTGCTAGTGATGGAATTATAGCAGAGATTTCTGAGGAACATTTTCCGTGGAAGTATCTACGATTGCAAATCTCATTTATCCGTTGGCCTCATTAGAACACTAAGAAAAGTCGGTGACCTGTCACTTTTCGATAGATTCTCCAGAAATCTCTGCTATCATATCATCACTAGCAACACCAGTCACACGAACTCGACAGTTCCAGTCATCTCATCCTTTCGTTGTTAACCTTGAAATATGTCGAACAACACTTTATCAAAACTCGTTCGTCTATCGAACGGCGGAGCTCTGGAATTATTTGCCAATAATTGTAAAAGTAGAAAAAAACAATAGCTACCTCCTCTCTCTATCCTCCCTATATCCTCCCTATAGGTACGCACGATGGTGTTCGTACATAATAGGGAGTCAATTTCGTGCGCTCCAAGCGATAACAAAAATGTTTGCTTTTTATATTCATTCTATCGATCAATAACTACTTTTCTGATTGAAACTAATCTACGATTTCATCAATATAAGATTAACATGATATTTTCACACTTTAGTTCCTGAAATGCAGTTTATTGTATCCATCAGAGCGTTCATTCTAGGAGTACCTAATGGTACCTACCTACCTAACAATTGATCAGGACTATCAGGAGATAAAGTCACTTCAGTTCAGCGGTGAATACATCATTTATTGCTCCCTCATTACCTACCAAAATTTAAATCAACCATTCAATGTTACAATTTAATTTGATAATTATAAGTTGATTATTTTGAATGGTTATCTTTGAAATAAAAGTTATATACACCCAGCCATCCATTTCTGAACAGACGGAGTCAATTATTGGGTTGTATACAAAAATTAAATATTTCACTGTATGCCTCGGCAGTCTGGGGCCACACTCTCATATGACCAGAATTCAACTCTTATTCCCTGGTCTGAATTCAAATAAAAGAAATTACCAAAATTTATCAATTATTTAATGTTACAATTTGATTTGACAAGAAACAGTTGATTATTTTGAATTTTTTTCTTTGAAATAAAACAGTTAGGTACTAAAAGTTATATACACATCACTTCAGTCATGAGAATCAAATGGGCCGCTTCAGTCCCTTTGTTTGGTAGGACTAAACTCACACTCAAGGATATACATAGTCATCATATGTAAATTGCCATTGATGATTTACTATACCTGTAGGTACCTATATACTTCGTAAATCTGTAACCTGGAGGAGTGTGTTTATGGTGATGTCTTGGTGATAAAAGTCATATTTTGTTGATTCATTTTATTGAAGATTTCGATCACTGTATAATATTCATATCCTTGATCCAAATCCCAATTTAAATCAAGCTGATGCTCATATATTATAACAAAGCTATTATTCAGTCCCAATGCCACATTCTTTATTTGGCTCGGAATTCATCTGACAATGAGCAAAATGCCAACGCGTATCGCACATCTTCAATAATTAATTCTGTGCCGCAACTGCGGAAATAATACACGTCGGAGAAATATAAAGATACATCACAATTTTCTAATTGAACGTCACGGTAGATACTCGTTACTCTTTCTCTATTGATTGATCAATTTGTTTGACAACAAATTTATTAAGTACGATTATATTTGTAGATTCAATATGCGTCTTTATAATAAATGAGTAGTAAGTATTCAACGTCATTGTTTAGTGCTAATGAACTATACCAGTACATTGATTGAATCACGATACATTCTGGCGTATCAAAATAATTTATACGAAATTATTGAGAGATGACTAGCGAGTCTGTACGGCAGTTTCCAGTGCAAAAAAACACAAAGTTATCTCAAAATTTCAACATGTAATCTCGAAATTTTGACTTCCAAAAATTTCACTTCAACTATGACGGTCAATCCAAATCTGTATCCTTCCTTAGAAAGATAGTAGATATCATTTAGCAATTTCTGTGGTGTATACAAAACCAATACAGGGTGGTGATTTTAACTGGAATAAATTCGCTAGCGGGGAATTGAATTACTTTTCTGAAAATTCTGGGGGCACATCAACGTTTTGAAGTATTCACTCACATTTTGCAAACATTATGAAGGATATAGCCCTTCAGGGGTAGCTGAAACACCACCCTCATTTTTTTTTTCAAATGCAACCTTATATTTGGCTTGTGACCCCTGAAAAACCTCTTGAACCTCACTCCCTTCCACATTGTCTTGGAGAGGGAAGCCAGGATAGTTTCCTACAGATTCCTGTCACTGAAAAATCAAATTAGAGGGGGCGACTGCTGGACCACTCCGGGATACTGTGTGGAATAAAGAATCGCCAAACTCTAGGAATGGTTTCCGACATATAGGCTACTCAGACACACGTGAAAAAGTCTTACAGAGACCTCTTTTCGAAGAGAGACTAGTGGGTAAGTGGATCAGTCCAATTCCCAGAGACCGAACACGTAATGTACACAGATGGTTCGAAAACCCTTCTTGTAGCTGGAGCCTGTGTGTTCAGTAGAAAACCTAAGACGGAAATCTCTAATCAATCTCGGTAAGTATGCAACAATATTTCAGGTGGAGGTCTTCGCAATTGAATTGTGTGCTAGGGAGTTGACGAATATACCTCTAGTAAACAAAAACATCAGTATTGTATCAGACAGGCTGCTCTTATGGCACTGAGCTCCAGCAAGATAAATTCCAAGCTTGAATGGAGCTGTATTGATTCCCTAGGAAGCCTGGGTGCAAACAACAGAGTTACTTTGCTGTGGGTGTCTGGACACCACCAGGAATCTGTGTTCATAGGACCAGAACCATACTTAGTTAGTTCCTAGAAGTTAAACTTCAACTTTTGCTCTTAGTCACTAACTACCCTATTTTGCTTATTTAAAGAACGCATCAGCGTGTTCAATTCCAACTCTCAAAAACGCTCGTTTTTGAATGAAGTTATCCGAGAAACGTGAAGTCTGAATGGTTTACGTTTCGATCATCGATCTGACAGGCATGTAATAACCCCACGGAAAGCCCCGTCTGTCGTGAAAGGCGAATGAAAGGGTGCCATTAGCTGGAAGGATGGGAGGTTTCTGCTTCTATTCTGAAACGAATCTATCATGTCAACGAGAAAAATCATTGGAACCAAATAAGTTTGATGTTATATGTGGTTCAAATTCCATAGCCAGGAACAGTCTTTACTTATCTCCAAATGATCCATCTTAAGAAGAGCTCTTCGAATTCTTGTCTCTGAGGCTAGACCATATTCAACAGAATCATCCTGTAGCAGAAATCATCATCCTAGGCGATTTCAGTGTACACAACACTGCTTGACGCGTACACTTCAACAAAACGGATGAAGCTGGGCGAAAAGCCGATGCTTTCGCCATCACTAACGGCTTAGAGCAGCTAATCAAGGAACCCACACAAATTACCGATTTCAATAACCATTCAGCCAACACATGCGATTTTCACAGTGTGCTGCGGAAATTTCCGAGATCATCACGCTTGAAATGGACATATTTCCACCTCATTCTTCGAAAAGATCATCACCTTCGAAACTATGGTCCAATCAAAACTGTTCTGGAGCTGTTGCCTTGAAACAAACAGCCTACCATCGCTGGCGCAGAAACTCTAACCTCGCGACTAGAGCATGAATGCATCAAAAGGAACATACAATACCAAAATGAGATCGAAACACATAGATTGTCCTAATGTCTCCCGTTCGTTTTGGTCCCTCGTTAATGCAGTCAGGAGGATGCCCTAATAACTCTACTTTAGATTCCCTAGG